TTGGGGCATGCGCGCCAGGCCCGCGCCCGGAGAAAGGGGCGGTACCGAACTGTTCGGGCATGCGCGCCAGGCCCGCGCCCGGAGAAAGGGGCGGTGCCTGCAGCGCGTGCGCAGTTGGGGAAGGGCGGTTGGCGCACGCGCAGTGGGGAAGGCGCGCAAAGGCACCGCCTCAGAGACGGCGCCATCATGGCGGACTCGCCCCCCCCCCCTCAGGAGCCGCTGGTCCCGCCCCTGCTGAAATCAATTGATAAAACATGACCACACAAGCGCGGTTGCGTTGTTTTTTTAAAAAAAAATCTAAAATACTTTAATAATTAAAATCTGTTGCTGAGGAGACTGATATACAACGCAATGGCGGCTGTACAGGGGGAGCTGTAAGGGAAGAGCTCCCAGTGGACGCCAGACCATGGCCAGCATGTTGCCATACTGGTCTGTGAACACGACAAAGTTCTCTCCCTCCCTCACAACACTCCTCCCTACAAGTGGCATCTCACACATGCTTTAGTTTTGTGCATAATACAGCAGTGACCCCTACCAGATTTTATTTTTTTTTAACGCTGCATTTAGGAAGAATTCTTCACTCCGAAGAGGAAATACCATCTTTTTAAGGTCACTTTTGAAACCTATTCTTCCCCTCCTTTCGACCCACACAGTGAAATTATCAAATTTCCAGTAGGTTTAGCTGTAAAAATGAGAAAAAGGCAAGCTTCAACCCCGGTTTGGGAGAGTAAAAAACATCTGTGAGAAAACCACAATAAAAAGGACTGACTACTCTCACGGTTTCCCCAAATTAAAAAGTTTTTAAAAGGCAAGTCATTTTTCCTGGCTTTGTAATTTGTTAATCAAGCCTAGATATTTCAAGATCTGTTATTTAGATTACAGCAAGTGTTGGGGAGTGCAGAGCGAATGCTTTATACATCTGTTGGGTTTTTTCTTTTTTTTTTTTTTTTTTTTTTTTTTTTTTTTTTTAAAACGATGCAGCTTGTGTTGATTTCTATACAATTCCCTTCCAAGACAGCAAACTGTTGGTCAGTAGTGATTCAGCGCATTAAGGACATGACAGAAACAAGCAACCTCCAAAAAAATTATGAGTCCAATGTCAGTTGACTGCCAGGGTTCTCTGTACACAGCTAATATACACACACGTGCTTTTGAGCACATGCTCTCCTCAGCTTCCCAACACCAGAGCTGCCTTTTTTTTTTTTCTCCCTTCCTGATGGAAAGGAGGAAATGAGGAATTGCAGCCCCAAGACAAGTCTGTACAGCTGGGGAAGAGAAGGGTTGTTCCCCGGGGCACTGTCCTCTGGCAGAGTCGTATTGCTGAGCCACACGAGGTATAGTGTCAGTTCCAGCCTGATGGCACAAGAGATGTGTTTGTTCCAGTGAAATGCTACATTCAGACAGGATTCCCCTTCCCTGGCCAAAAGCCCTTTTCTGGATATGTTTGGAAGGCAAATCATCAAAGAGCTGAGGTTCCACCCTCGCTGTATTGCCTCGGAAAAGGATGTAGAGAACTTCCAGCCCTCCTGGGTTTCTTGCTCCCTCCTTGGAAGATTACGGTCGATGGTACCTGAAAGCCAAGTGAAAAATCCAAGTGTCATCCTCGGAACTCAGGTTAAATCATTACTTGGGCACTACAGATGGCCAAAGAGAGTAAATTGAATAATCTCAGAACTCTCAGCCCTCGGGGAGGCTCTTATCATCAAACAATTTCASCACCTGTGCTCTGCACTCAACTTTGCCACACAGAGCTGGAAGAATCACTTGGGCCAGGATCCAGAGGTGACTACACAGATAACATACAATGCAACTCATCTAGTCCTGTGTTTTGTGGCTGTGGCTGCACATCTCTAGCCCCAGAAAAGCTCACTCCAGCTGCAGCTTCACCCTCGTTTCAGATACACCTCAAACCAGCCATTGGTCACTCTGAGTTTCCAGGATAGAAGCCCCAGTTTAAGAAAAAATAATGCACTTTGTGCCTGCTATTGCTCCAGTGACATCCCACAACTGAGACAGAAAGGGACATTCAATCTCCAGCTGCCACTCAGATAATTTTTCTAAGGTTTTAGTGTTTTGTCCCTAAGTTCTGTCCTTGCAGCACAGCTCTGACAGCTCCAACAAGATTGAAACTCTGGAGAAACACCTTCTCACCTGGTGAACTGCTTGCTCTCCTCATGCACTTCCATTTCACAGCTCTTAAATTCATTCAGCTCCTTCCTGATGGCCGCCTGCACAGAGAGGGAGATTCTTTTGCAAAGGGCTCAGATTACAGCAGCCACRCCAGTTTTCACAGTCCATTAACACCAAGCTGAATTTAATCTGCCCCTCCATGATAGGTAGGCAGTCCCCACAGGTGGCCAGGGAGGACAAGGACAGATGGTTCCCTGCCAGCTTCCTGAGCCTGCAGAGAACTGCATTGCTATGACCCACACCCAGCATCTTTGGTGTGTCCAGAAAAGGGAACGGGGCTGGGGAGGGGTCTGGAGCACCAGGAACAGCTGAGCGAGGTGGGGAGGCTCAGCCTGAAGAAAAGGAGGTTCGGGGAGGACCTTCTCGTGCTCTACAGCTCCCTGACAGGAGCTGAGACAGATGAGGGTCATTCGCTTCTCCCAGGTACTTTGTGACAGGACAAGGGTAAACAGCCTCAGGTTGAGCAAAAGTTATTAGACGAGCTCTAAGGAAAAATTTCTTCATGRGAAGGGCTGTGGTAGAATCACCATCCCTGGAAGTGTTAAAAAAATGTGCAGATGTTCATAACTCCTGGGGACATGGTTTAGTGGTGAACATGGTGGTGCAGTTGGACCCCATGATCTTGAAGGGCTTTTTCAACCTCAACGACACCATGATTCTATGATCCTTACACCACTCAGAAGCTGAGGCAGAAGCCATGCTGGCCTTCAGACTGTGCCCACCTGGGCTCCACCTTGCCATGGGGCAGCAAGGAGCAGAGCTGGGACAGCGCATGCAGGTGAAGGGACACTGGGGCGGGTAGCAGAGGGAAATAGGAAGAGGTGAAGTCAGAGGAACAGAGCAAGTCTCCTTGGGCTCACACCCTTTTGCATGGGACACCCTAGTCTGGCTCCCCTTCCCATCGGGGCAGGACACTCTTGGTTACCTTGTCAGCTGGTGTCAGCTTTGTCCATGGCTTATCTGCTCGCCTGTCGTAGTCTTGAGCGTCTGTTACTTCCACATACTCATTAAACCTCAGGATCTTCCTGGCCTGCAGTTCTGCTACCGTAGGCCTTTGGCTAAGCTGAGCACCACCAGAAACAAAGGAGGTTAGTCTGAGCCTTGTCCACAAAGTAAGTCAGGACTAAGCACTGCAAGCACAACTAAAACTAGTTCCCTCACTGGGCCTGAACCATAGACACCAACAGATCCTGCTCACAGCCTGCAAGGGAACAGGTAAACCTCTTACAGAATGGATACTCCTATTTGGATCACAAGGCCAGGCTAGGGCAGAACCAAGGCCACACTGTCACGGAGAAGGACACTGAGGGGCTTGGAAACAGTCACTACAAGGGTGAGCCCTGCATGACATCACTAAACCCAGCTTCAGCAACACTCCCACAGGCCCTGGGGAAGCTTTTCTCAGCCATGAGGAGCAATCACAAGTAACTTGGATGTAACAGCTAAAAGCAGCTGTTACTCTGCTCAGCTCCCATATTACTGTTACTTAGAAATGGATTGTAGGGAGCTTGGTGTGAAATTGTAGCTGCTGAAGAACAGTGTTAAAGCAGCCAGGCCAGCAAGCCTTTCAATGGTCAGGTGCCAGATTTAGTTCTCATCTTGCTCATTACACTAGCTGCCAGCTCAGATCCGTCACTGACAAATATGGCCCTGGTGCCAATGGCTCACTGTGGGTGACATTCCAAAGTCACTGTAGTCCGAGGGCACTGGGGACACTTACACAAAAGCCCCATGACTTCCCCCACAGCATGGTACCTAGGAGATGCTCATAGCCATTGTGCCTGGCAGCCTTGCCAGGTGGCTGCCACCACAGGAGCCAGCAGTACCTTTCTGGTGAGCCGGCGCTTGATCTCGCGCTTCTCAGCTTGACGGTCGGCTTCATTTTTTGCTGCCAAGGGGGAAAAAAATACATTTTTCATGTAAGCATCAGGCTTTCAAAAGTGCTTTCTAGGCTTGAAAAAAGGGAGAGTATTGAGCTGGATCAGATTATCTACAGACCTGAAGGCTTAGGACAGGAAGAGAGCACAGTACAACTCAATACCCCTTGTCACCTCCTAAACAGGGGAAATATGCCCCTTACACAGCACCAGTAAGTCATTCTCATGTCAAAGATTAATGGCCATGTCACCAAAATACATGCAAGCTACTGTGCAGCTCACTTCTTTGCAAAGCTATTATAGTTTAATAGAAAAGAACTGCACAGATAAATATTTTAAATGGAAACTTCCTCAACTGATATTCCCATTTCCTCAAGATGTTTATTTAAAACTTTTGCAGAACAAGATATGGCCAAGAAAAAAACTCCTGACTTTGTGATGCACTGCTGCTTWTGACATCATGCAAGGCAATGATGTAATGTCTGGACCACAAATAAAAGTATAGCCCAAACAAAAACACCTTTAACAGTCCTTGCTGTGTAACACCAGAGTCTGAACCAGCCCACACACTCTTCCCTGAGGTGGCAGGCATGGGACAGCTGTTCTGTCCATGATCACATGACCCCAGAATGGGTTTGGTTGGAAGAGACCTCAAAGATGACCTTGTTCTACCTCCTGCCATGGGCAGGGACACCTTCCACTACACCAGTTTGCTCCAAGCCCTGTCCAATCTGGACTTGGACACGTCCAGGGATGGGGCAGCCACATGTCCTCTGGGCAACCTGTGCCAAGGACCTCCCCACCCTAACAGGGAAGAATTTGTTCCTAACATTTAATCTAAATCTCTTCCAATTTAAAACCATCCCCACCTGATAAATTAAGATGCTAAAGGTGAACTTATGGTATTTCTCAGGACCACCAGAAAAGTGCTACTCACGCTGAAGAATGTTCCTCTGCTCCAGTTCTTCCGCAGTTGGTCTCTGACTCAGTCGCCTGAAGAAAAGTGTGACAAGTGCAGACTGTTTTATCATCAGCAGTAGATGAAGGATAAAACTGCCTGATTTCAGTGCACTGCACAGCCTCCTCCACACTTCTCACTCACCACTGAGGATCACTGCTGCCCTGTTTTATACTCTGCTCTGCTCAAACAGCTGCTYGGCCACCGGCACAGCTTTGGGAAGGACTATAGGCTCTCCAGTTCAAAAGCAGCTTTTACAGACAGCAGAGCCTGGACTGTCACCAGCCCCAGCTTCATCCGCCACCAGCACCCATCTTGCATCCATCCACACCTTTCTACACCCCCTGTATTTTACATGTCTGTAATCCTCAAGATTTTCCCCTCCCAGTCCATTCAACCTCTGAAACAGGGGCCTGTCAGGGGACTATTGTTCCATGAGGAACTCCCAACTTTTCTAACTGAAGAGAACCAGCTACACTCAACCTTGCAGCCCTGCTCCAGCTGCTGTGCCCAAACACCCACCCTACTCCAGCACAAGCTGCTTGGACAAGGCACCAACTTTGTCCAATCCCACCCCRCCCACACTGTGCCAGCAGCTCACACTGAACATCATCATTTTCTATACCTGATCAGCGTTGTCCCAATCTGCTGACGGATTTCATTCCACTCCTCCTTGCTCTTCCGAGGGAAGATGATCTCCTGTGGCATAGCTGCGTTCCCCAGCTTTATAGCAAGCGTATCTTTCCTCTTCACTTTGTTGGCCAGCGTGCCTGGTGGGAGAAGAGCAATGGGATGCAGCTCAARGCTGCTGAGCCTGAGCACAACAACCCCAGCCCTGTGCCCCTGGCAGTTGTGCTCTCCCTGAGGGAGAGCTGTCCTCTCTCCTTGCTCTTCCCAAGCTCTGCACTACACAGCAGCAGCAGCCAGCACTCCTGTGTGATACCACATGCTCACCTAATGCTGTCCTACCTGAGGGGCTGGGACAGCACAGGCTGCCACAGGAGCCATCTGCAACTGAAGGGGTGCACTCATCAGGTGAGTGCACAGGCTTGGCTGCAGAATCTTGGAAAAAGCGAGGCAGAGGACATGTGCTACATCATGCAACCAAGAACCAGCTGCTTTGAAATGCTGTGGGAACCAGCTCTTTGATCCTGATCTCAGTGCAACCAGGCACAAGTTCAGCAGAGCAATAAAASAGCCAGCTGCAATGTCAAAGCCTTACTGTTATGGCTTTCATCTTCTTCCTCATCATCTTTATACAGGATGGGCCCCTCCGAGTCAGAGTCACTCATCCCTTCATCTCCTTCCTGCTCCTCTGGGAGGACCTGGGGTACCAGTTTGGGGATGACTGTGACAGATGGCACATCTCCAATATACACACGAGGACCTGAATTCTGCTCCTCTTCCTGGTCATCTTCTTCCTCTTCCTCATCATCTGGACTAAAGAGAAGCACACTGTTACAGCCCTGAACACATGGCACAGGTCCTGGTGCAGTTAAAGACAGCCCAGGACTGGATTCCTGGCATCAGCCTGTGTTTGTAGTCTGGAACCCATTTTCCTTAGTGAGCAATAAAATCCCCAAACCAGGGGTAATTTCATGGGGAAGATGCTCTGGCTCTTGAGCCGCTGAAACGCAGATTTGGCCAACGGGAAAATGGTTTCAGCAGAAACATAAACCCTGCCAAGAGYTATCCCCACCATCACAGCATTGCAGGAGCTTGGAGAGCCAGTAAACATACAAGAGATACTCACACTTTTAGCATCTCAATGGTGACAGGCAGGGACCTCGTCCTGCCCAGGGTGCCATTGTCTTCTCCAAAGGCATCGTCCTCAAAGAGCAGCGAGTGAGCCCTGTGGGACCCCTCAGGAGGCGGAGTGACAGGCAGAGGGCTGGCCAAAGCCTGCTGGATACGAATGTGCAGAGGGATTTGGGGAAGGCGAGGCAGCGCGTGGGGTTCACCAAACCCTTGCTCTGCTGTCCTCTTCAACACTTCCATGGACCTGAAATCTTCAGGAGGAGGAGTCGGAGTCTCTTTGGGCAGGTCCAGGGAGCGCAGGGGGTCCGGGATAGGGGTGGAAGTGGGCAGAGCCACGCGTGGAGGTTCAGGGGGTACATGGGTGGGCAGCGGTGGCGAGGGGGGGGGTGGTGGATAAGCTGTGCTCACATGCAGCGGGATCGGTGCGGGTCGACTCGCTGTCACTGTCCTGTCATTTGGGAGCTTGGAGGTGACAATCTCTGATGTGTTATTAGGCAGGAGGCCTCTCTTTGGGGGGAGAGGAGGAGAAGGCTTGGACAAGGCTGTACCACTGGTCATTACTTGGGAAAGTTCAGCTGAAAATAAAAACCACAAAAGCCACAATGTTTCACAGGGCATTTTCCAGATATCCTTCACCAGTGTGGAAAAAGCACAGCAACACACTCAGAGCTTTCAACTAAACAGTCACTGCTGCTTTTTACTGGAATGTCATACCAGAAATAGCCAGGTTGCAAGGCTCTAGCTTGTCCTTCCTGCAGCAAAGGTAAGACTTGGGAGAACAGCAAAAAACAAGCAGGCTGACACAGGTTTGTGCTTCCTGTTGTTTCAGAGGAAGAGGAATGGCACCAGACCCTGAATGATAGCACACGAGCTTGCCCACGAGTGCAGYTATGTGGGCACTTTAATGGCTGCATTTACAGCATAAGAGGAATCCAAGACATCCAGGGCACCCCAGACTCCAGTTGTGTCAATGGCTATCCTGCACATTAAAGAACTTCTTGGGGAGTCTCAAAAAGTCTTAAAGTCTTACTTTCTGCTGTGAGGCAAATGTAAGCATAGCTGCAGGCAGCTTTGTGCTCCCCCCACTTCTGTTCATCCATCAGACCCAGCCTGAGAACACCCTGCTGCCAGCAACTCCTCAGGATGAGGTTCCTCTGAACGCTGTTCCTTAAGCCCCATATAACTCATCTGCGACTACAAAATAACTAGAAAAACTTCCACAAATACCTGAAAGCCTTGAGTATAAGTATCTGCTGTTTGATGTAGGAGAGAGGAACAAATGGAGTAATGAAAAATGCCTGCAGTGGGCAGTCAGAGGATCCTCAGATCCCCCTCTGTACCTAAGTAAATTGCACAAGTAAAGATTGCTCTTCCTTTAGGAGCTGGCMGCTTTTAACATCCATGTATCCATGGCTTCTGGGCTTGTAGAGGCTTTGCCTGAAGCAGCTGAGATTTTGCTGAGATTTTCCTGGAATGGGTGACAGTGACGCATGGGTGTCCCCAGAAGGGAGCTGGGGGAATCCATGGTGCAGACACCACGAGAGGGTGCTGCAAGCAGGAGAGTTTCCCAAGACAAGGCCACWTAATTAGAGAGAGGTGGGCACGTTTTTGGGATGTTTAGCATTTTCAGACTTTCCCCTTACAGATTAAGGGTCAGATTGTGCAAAACATAGAGTGCCCTCAGCTTCTGCCCAAGGGASTCCGGTGTCTCCTGAGGACTGCTCCAAGCTTGGCAGGACCAGGCTTGAGGCACCTCTGGCTAAGAGCAGAATTTCAAGGGGAGTGAGGAGTTGGCAGAAGGAAGAAAGGGCCTTGGTGATGTTTGAAACAGCCTCCTGAGCCAACCCATTGCCTCCAGTGCCACAGACCAATGCAGAGGCTGGCACAGTCCCTTGTGGCAGGCAGACCTGGTGCTCCTGCACACGCTGTGCTGCCTGTGGCTCCTGAAACCTGCTGGACACACCAAGCCCTGGGAAAGCAGATAAGCACCCTGTTCCCTGCTTGTTTGTTCAAGCTGATGCTGATTAAATTCCCACTCCTCAAGTGTTCCTTGAGATTTATTTTCAGCTGCTGTCTGAGACACCAGAACTGCCCCATGTCTTGGGGAGGGACAAAGGGGTGCCCTGCACAGTAACACCCTCCCATACCTCGGGCTATAACAGTGGCCCAAAAGGACACCTCTGCAGTCAGAGCAGGCACCAAAGAGCCATGGAGAGATCACAAGGCCCATTCCACTTCCCTGCTGTTCATCCACAGCAACAACACAAGGCTCACATAGCAACACCGCAGGTCCAGCCCCATCTCGCTGGACCAGAGACCTGTGGAGCCTCCTCTACATCCATCTACATTATCCAGGAGACAAAAGAGAACTAACTGCCTGTTCTCTCCTCCCCTGCACACCCCACAGGTGCTCCCAGCCCAGCCCATCCTGTTGGGAAGAGGCAGGATGGCTCCAAACAGATGTTGGATACATTGCTGTTCCCAGCCACATTTTTTGTTCCACATGTACCTCCTGAAATTAGCACTGGGGCATTTCAAATGCCACCTATAGTGTGTGCAAGCAGCTTACAGAAAACAAGAAGGTATTTCTCAGAGTGCTCAAGCCTGGTCAGGCTAATCAAGCTAGTCTGACACATGGGGATTGTTGACACTGTACCAAGGTCACTTGCAAAACCTGACAGAGCAAGGTGAGCCCCAAGAAGAGCAGAGCAATCCGTCCACACTGAAAGCAGAGGCCCAGGCTACTTCAGATGGCAACCTGCATACCCAGCACTGCCTCTCAAACCACACCTGGGTAACGCCTCCAGTTTCTGTGATAACAGTGCAGACCTGTCAGACTGAGCTTCCAGGAGCCTCCCTCCTGATCTGTGCTAACCTCTGCTAATCCTGTCCAAAGATTAGGTGGCTGTGAAAGAATTGCCTGAAATGCCAACAGGCCATCACTGCATGGAAGTCATCCTAGCTCTCAATGGTGCATCTTTAAAATCCCCAGAACTCTCACAGAGCACAGAGACTAAATCAGCTCTAAGAAACTCTCACCAAATCTTCTGCTTAGAAAAGTTAGAGATAAAATAATTTAATTCTCTACGTGGGAAGATTCAGTTCCAATTACAGTTGAGCTGATTTATCCATGGGACAAGACGTAAGGACGAGGCTCAAATGTCAGTAGCCCAGCCACAGATCTTAGARGAGGTGCCTGAGTATAACCAGGGAAGTCTGAATTAGCCCTGCCAGCTCTTGGTCTCTGCACCAAGTGGAAACCACACAGCCTGGCAGTGAAGCCATGACAGACATAGTTTGGTGTCATGTGCACTTTTGGGGTTTGTTTGCTGGTTTTGGTTTTTTGTTTTCTCCCCAAGAGCAGCTGAAAGAAGGAATTGCCACTAACCACAGTCTCACAGAGCAAAATCTCATCTACCATTTCCCAATCCCAGCTGAATCCCAGTCCACAGTGAAGTGTCAACATTCAGAAACTGCTTTAAGAGTTGACAAAAAACAAGAAGGCAGGGATTCCTTCCTGCAGGTAGCTGTTGGGAACAGATTGGACAGCTCATGGCAGAAGATTCAAGTAAGTACACTGTTCCAAGCACACATGTGTCCTGGCTAAACACTGGCAGATCTGAGTCCAAACTGGACTGTTTTCAGAAAAGATGATCAGACATTCAAGATACAACTAAAAACCTTCCCTTGTGAAGGGAAGAGAGTCTTGGAACAGTGGCTCCAGAACTTCTCAGGGCTCAAAAGCCAGTTTATGGGGTCACTTACCTATCAGTGAGTTGCTGTTTCTGTTGACAGGTTTGGGAGGAGGGACGGGAGGCTGTTTGGCAGGAGCTGTGCTGGTTGCACTGGTGGAAGCAGTAGTGTTGGCACTGGCAGGAGCAGGGAGCAGAGTCCTAGGGGCTGGGGAAGGGGCAGCTGTGGAACTGACTGTCTTTGTTGCAGTGGGGGCTGTGCTGAAGGGGGCAGTTCTTGCAGTACTGCTGGCAGGCGTTGGATCCTTTGCCTGCACTTCGTTTGCTTCCTGGGAAGTGGAGGGAAGTCTTTTTGGAGGAAGTAGAGGTTGTCTGGGAACATGTGGCTCCTGAGGTGGTTCCAGTTCTGGTCCAGGGTGGCTGCTGGAGGAGCCTGCAAAGGGAAGCAGCTCAGTTTAAGGCACCAGAGGGCCTAGCGAGGGTGGGAMGGCCTAGCAAGGGTGGGAAGGGTCAGATGAGAATTCAAAACTGGTTCTAGGAGAATGTGAAGCCCTGATTTTGCACACATCTGGTTTCTTACCCTGCCTCTTCTTTGGTTCCTCTATTGGGACAGGCTTCCTAAGGCTGGATGGCTTTGTGGCCTCTTCCTCCTGGCTGGGTGGGTTACAGACCCCAGGGCCCCCAATGGGAATGGTGTGGCCATTCTTCAGTGCAGGAAGGTTCAGCTTCTCTGGCTCTTCACCATCTGTAAGGGGACGGGAGGAGAGGGAAGCAAAGAGAAAACACTCAGAAGGCAGGAGAGAGCAGAGGTGGCTGATCTGACTGGACCACCATGGAGCCCCACCAGCTTCTCGGTGGCTTCTGAAACAGGCGGTTTTCACTCACCTTCTGCACAGGAGAGCACAACAACCCAATGAGCTGGAGCTGAAAGCCCTTGATTTCTTTATCAACRAGTAAATCACACAGCACTGTATGCCATCAAGGGTTTTTCTTCTCCCTGTTCTGCCTTCACCCTGTGTTTCAGATTAGTGTGCCCAGTGTTGTGCTGCAGCACAAGTCGTAACTGAAGACACAAACCTCCAGYAGCTTTTGTACCCACCCTCCATCAAGGAGTAGTCACCAATTCCCTGCTGCAATGCAGATTCCAACATGAGCCAGGTCATCTACTGCATGTGCAATAATAAACTTTGATAAAGTCTTCAAATTAGTGCAAGCACCTCTGTTTTCCTTCAACCCTGAATTTGGCACAAAAATCACTGCTCAACCCAAAACATCAACAAGGCAGATTTCGTCACTTTACATCTGATTAAACCAAAGGTTATGACACAGCTCTAGAATTTRATGTAGCTCACCTTGACTATTTCTGCTTTTACAGCTTCTAGCATGGAGTTCCCCAGTTTTAGAAGCAAGACCTCCTTTTGGAAAAAAAACCCATCCAATCCAACTCATGTTTTTGAGAGTCCTTATACTCCTAAAGCCCACGAGGAAATACTCCACCAAAYTGCAATTGCCCTGACAGGACAAGTTTTTGACAGTATTACTCTGAAAAACAGACTTGGCATCCACTTCTAAGGGGARGGAAATTACCCATTTTGACTGATTTTCCACTCAAGGAAACTAGAATAAATACATCACCCCTTGATTAAAACTCTTTATCGATTCAGTTTGTCACCTCTGCAGCAAGTGGAGTGTGTGGCACCTGGGCCCTCCACGTAATAGACCCCAGGACACTCTGCTGTTCTGACGTTTGATAATTTATTCCACTGCCCTCACCTCTCCTCTCCCTCCCAAATATTATCTCCCCTTCCCTAATCTGATGTCATTCAGAAGCTTCCCAGGATTTCTTTTCCACAAGAAACTGCCTCGGTTCCTGTGAGGACCTGGCAGGCGGTGCCGCTTCACTCCCTCACCGCCCTTCCCTGAAATGCAGGAAGCACAAACAGCAACAAGAGGGAGTTTCCTCCCAAGCCAGGGCTGAAACTCAAGGGATGAGCCACAGATTTTTATAGCAGCAACTGCCTCTGGTTATCCAAAGTTTTCAGCAAGGAAGACAGGAACAGTATGATCCAGCTTTCCTTACCACTCAACCTTGCCTGCCCTTATCTGGCAGGGAGGGCAGGTCCTGATGACCTCTCCCACCACCTCACTCAACTTCAGCTCCAGCAACCTCCTTCAAGGTCAAGAGAATCCAATGCCACTTTCTTTCCTTACTCTGAGCCCAGTAGCCTGAGCCTTTTGGAGCCCTGAGCCTGCTGACCCCCCACCCAAGAACAGCAAGGCCTAAGAACTCACCTAGGAAAATTAACTGACCTTGTACAAGCAGGTTTTAAAACTACAAACAAAKACACTAACCCACCCTCACATCTTACGACTGCCCAAGTGCCTTAAACTCACAGAGGGATTTAGATAGTGTGCCACTAATCTGCCCCTCCTGCCAACACCGACTGTTCCCTTACGCTTGGGTTTGCTCTTGTCCCAATTACACCCATCTGGTGTTTCTAAAACCAGAGCAGATGTCTCAAAGAAGGCAATTCCATCTCTTAGCCAGACTTCTGTTACACCTGTACAGTATGGAAGATCTCTGCCTTCTCTGCCCTTTCTAGTTGGGAGTTTGGTACCCGAAGTCTTTGATCTCTCTTCCAATTTCACCCTGTGACCTCCCACCCTTCTGTACCCCATGAACTCTGCAGTGCGGCACTGACACCCTTGGCATCAGTACAGGACAGCTACCACTAAGACTTGCTCTCAGTTTTGCTTTCAGTGGTTTGGTCTGAAAACCACTTTTTCACCTTCAGTTTTCCACTTTCTTAGAATAAAACTTGCRCTAGGCCAAGGCTGCCTCTGCAGTGTGTGTCTTGAGGTGCAGTTCCATGTTGCTCTAAGCCAAGGGTCACACTTCCACCCAGATGGAGGGCTGCTATCTCTCCACACCTTCCTGCCCCCTCCCTTGGGCTCACATCACAAATCCCAGCCCAGTCACTGATGGCGATCTGAGAACTTATTTTGGCAGCATCATCCCAACCTGGGGGACATCAAAGATGACAGAAAAGGGATAAGACTTCTTAGGCAGCAGGGAAAACCTTAATAAGCCAGCTGGTGACTATGACACCAGACCATGAAGCACCTCTTGGAAGAAAAGGCCCCTGCCCAGGCAGCTCAGAATTCATCCATTTCTAATTCTTCTCCCAACCTGAGCCCCAGGGGCAGCACCTCTCCCATTTGGAACAGTGGGAGATGGTGAGTGACAGTGTGACAGTGTGACAGCAGAGGTTGGCAGGACAGCCCAAGGGATCTGGAGCAGAACACAGAGAGGGACGGGATGGGAAGTGACCACAGCACAGCCCTCCCCTGCCTGCAGGAAAGTGTCCCAGACAGGCACTGCACTTCCTCAGCACCATTCTCCTCCCTGAGCAGGCTGCCTTCCTCCCAGATGGGAAAACAGACAAGAGAGAGCGTTTAAAAGGGTAAGACAGACAGGAATCACATTAGCAGAAAGCCCTTAAATTCATTTCCCAAGGCTGAGGTTTGGCCAGAGGAAGATCAGGTAAACAGACAGGAGAAGTTCGTTTGCAGACTCACCCTGCTCAGGCTCTTCCAACAGAACCCCTCTTTTTACCAGCTCCTCTCTTGGCTTTCGCATAGAAATCTTTCGTTCTAAAACTGATATTAAATTGAAAAAAAGCACTCAGAAAACAGGGCAAGCTCTAAGTTCAAGAAGATAACATTTTTATTTTAAAGAGATTCTCCAGAGGAAGTAAAAGGGCTTCATATTTCACTGGTTTTGAATGGATTAAGAGGAGAGAAGAGGAACTGCATGTTCAGACCTGCATTTCACATTGCACTGCTGATCATTCCTCCCCACAGCTGCTTGGGGAGCTTTCTTGAAAGAAAGGAATTTATTTGTCTGAAACTACAGTTCCATGGCAAGGTGTTTCTGGAGTGACTGCAGGTGCCAGCTCATCAGCAAAGTCCCATTTTAGTTCTTACATGTGTCAGCACTCRGGCTTGTGACAACAAGCCCTTCTCAGATGGATGGAGGAGAGGACACCCACCCAGCCCCTGTTACTTTACCTTCTGAAGTCTCCTTAAATTTGTCACTGCTTTTCTTTTTCCTCCACTTCCAYGGTTTGAAAATCTTGCCAAAGCTTGAGAACTTGCTTTTCCTCTTTGTAGGAGGTGTGGTGTCACCTGATTCCAAAACATCTACCCCCATGCTGGCGTCACCTGGGACATGATCCACCTCTTCGGCTGCACAGAAAAGAAGGAAGAGTATAATGAATTACTGCTTTGCTGCAGGTAACAGATCCCATCTGTCACCAACCCACCCGACACTGGGAAGTGCTGGCACACGTTCATGCAAAGCAGGAAGCAAGACTCTGTCTATGGCTCCATTGGATCCTCACATCAGCTTGGCGAGAACATAAACTGGGCAAATGGAAACCGGTAGGGGCCTTCCTGATCAGACAAAGATTACAGATTCCCAGAAGTGTTAAGGCTGGAAAAAGCCTCCAAGACTGTCAAATCCCATCTGTGACCAATCCCCACCTTGTCACCAGCCCRGAGAACTGAGTGCCATGTCCAATCGTTCCTTGGACATCTCAAGGGATGGAGACTCCACCACTGCCCTGGACAGCCTGTGCCARGGACTGACAACCCTTTCTATGAAGAAATTCCTCTTGATGTTGAACTGAATCGCCCCTGGCACAACCTGAGGCTGTTTTCTCCCTGTTCTGTTCCTTGTTCTGTGAGGGCAGAGCCCGATGCCCTCTGCCCCGGCTGCCCCCTCCTGTCAGGGAGCTGGAGAGTGAGAAGGTCCCACCTGAGCCTTCTCTTCTCCAGGCTGAGCACCCCCCAGCCACAGATTCATTMATTCTGGCGGTGTCACAGCTTTGCCCACCAAAACAAGCCGCTTGCCTACATTTTCTCATCCTCATTTGGAAGCAGCTGGATGTAAGTCATGACATGAACACAAACACCTTCCAGCCCACTGAGCTGACATTTATGATTGTCTGTACCCCGAAATTACTAGACCCATTCCAGCAATAGGATGTGCTAGATTCTCCCCTCTCTGAGTTTCCATCTATAAATAAGGGCAGCAAAGCTGGCCAAGAGCAACAACTCCACAGGAAAGCAACACAATACAGGCCTGTGCTCCACCTACTGCACTGAAGTCTCTGGAGAACAACACAAGAAGGACACGGAGGCGGGAAGGGACATACAAAAAAACCAAACCAAAACAAAAAACCCCACCCCCAACGCAAAGAAACCACTTTTGAAGCAGAACCAGAGTGCCAAACACCAATCTGGGTACTGTTGACCCTGCCTTGCCTGATGTTGCTGTTTTGGGGTATTTGATGGAACATAAGGGTGCACTTACAATGAGCAAAACCCAGCACTGTCTGCAAAAAAATAAATCAGTGCACACGAGCCAAGTGAAGCCAGCTGGTGCCCACTCCATGGCAGGATTTCCAGAGCCAGAATCCCTCAGCTTCATCACTAGAGACAAAAGCACACCAGAGCTCCATGGGAAAATTCCTATGGAGATGAGAGATGTCCCCCAGCCCCATCACACCCAGCAGTGGAGTGTCCTGGTGCAAACTGCACTCAGGTGTCTTCTTTTGGAGCCKCAAAGTCAGACACTGTGGAGCTTGGGAGCACAACAGACCTTTCAGCCAGTTTCAGACAAGCCTGTRTGATGTCCTGCAGAACAGGCAATGCCCCATAGGTAACAGGAAAGTTCAGCCAAGAATCCCATCTCCTGAGGCAAAGAGATTGGGAAAAGAATTATAGGGGAAATGTCCTTCACACATAGGACAAAGAGCTAATAATGTATCTTCTGTATCCTACAAACCTCCACTGAGGATCCCAGACATGAAAAAGCAGATTCCTGTCAAGACAAGGAAGAGCACATTCAGGACAGAGGGAAAAAAAACCCAAACACAAAAAAAAAGAGTTGTTTGATGCAGCTCTACCTGCAGGCTGCTTCCCAGCACGAGATCTCAGATCGCAGGAAGTGGGGAGCACAGGGAGCCACAGCCACAGCCCCTGACAGCCTCAGGGCTGAGGACAGGCTACCACGCAGGACAGACATGAGCACACATGGACTGGAAGATCACTGAAAAATGGGGAAGAGAAGAACAACAGAGGGAAACCAAGGAGTGTTTGAGCATCGTTTGGTTGTTGGTTGTACTTCTGTTTAAATCAGCCCCACAACAGAAAGTCCTTCATTCTAAACCAGTCAAAAGCTGATGCCAGACAACATTTATTTGAAAAAGCAAGATCAATTCAGCATCTGAGATGCTTTTAAATAAAACAACAACAACCCTGACTTCATAACAGGAAAGAAATTAGGATGGAAAATACCATACTCCATGTCAGCACTGATCTGTGATTTTCTGCAGGGAGAGAGGGAGGGTGGATGGAAGTGAGGAGAAAAAAAAAAAAAAAAGATATTTCAAGCTCCTAGAAACCCATAGGAACTGTCTGCATGTTTAGAGATTTAGACACTGAGCTTTCTTCAGAGACTAGATCACTAGGCCTGCATTTGTACATGCAATTTTAACGAGCAGTATTCACTGTGCTCAACAGAGCATTCCCAAACTTCACCAGGCAGGCACAAGCGCCTGCCAAGCACAGGCTGTAGACTGAATTYGAATCTCAAGTGTCATCAAAGGCATTTCCCTCATCTTTCCAAGGAGAACAGTGCTGAAGGCAGCAGTACACCAAGCATGCCTTCCATCTAYGCCTTCCCTGAGCTGCTCGGAGAAATGTCATTATGTGCTGCCTACCACCCAAGATTTTAGAGTGCTGTACTAAGCCAAGTAAATTATTAAAAGAAAACTCAACCATCAAATTCAGGAATTAATGAAGAGCGCTCAGCACACTGGGATATCTCCACTTCCAGTTAGAGAGAGAACATTCCCCTGCCATCGTCCCCTCCAAGCAGCCAGGGAGGAGCAGAGGACATGAAAGGATGAGCCAAAACTGCAGGACACACASGACACCCCCAAAACAAGAGCAGCTAAGAGCAGAGAAGGTGGGGAGAGTCCCCGTGTGACTTTACTCCAGGCAGAGTCTCTTCCAGCAGCTCCTGCATCCCAGGCACAGCTGTCAAAGCAAATACCATCCCAGGGTGGAGTTTCACTAGCAGAACTGCAGCTACGCAGGTGAACACAGAAGGTTTCACAAGACTTCACATCRAGAGCAAATCACTGGGTCCTGCTCTGCCTCGCTGCTCCCTCAGCAGTGTTACAGCTGCTCGTAGGCTCCTGCTGAGAGTCAGGTGTTGTCCAATACAGAAACACTTGGTTTTGTTGGTTTATRATCAGTTCCATGCCCAAAACCAGCCAGGCAAGAGAGAAAGACGGAACACAAAACTGTCCAAATAATTTCCACCACCCTTTTGCTCTGAGTAGAATAAAACTTGACATGTTACTAAACATTCCAAGACCATCCCAGCCCACTGGTCACACCTGATGCCAGGGAAGCAATTCCTTCCCTGATGCTCACTGGGATTTGTTCTGTCCTGCTGTGCAGATGACAGGAGAGCCTGTCCTAYCCTTCTCCAGCACTCTTCCCATCTCTAATTACCACACAGACAGAGACATTTAAAGCAGTCTGTTGTGAAGCAACATGACACTTAAGGGCTAATGAGCAAATGGATCAGCARCTGGAGGTGAGATGTACAGACCTGTATTCAAATAACCTTATTGTTCAGTGATTGTTCACATTAGATAGTGCTCACACTCCTCCACAATGGACCTGTCCTTCCATTCGCAGCCCATTTCCAGCTCAAATCCCCATGAAATGGTGTAGAGAGGACATTTCTTTGCTGTGAAGGAAGAGAATCCACCTTGCTAAGGCTGTGCCTCCTCCTGCTCTGGTACAAGGTACAGGGGGGTCCTTATGCTGCCTTGCAATGCAAGAGGGAAACCYTTCCTTAGCTGAATTGTACACTGGAAAGCTGGGAAGAAAGCCAGCAGTGCAGTGCTCAGGGAAGATACCAGGGCAAACAAAGAGGAACCAGACTTGGAGGGAAGGGTGGGAAGAGTCAAGAACCTGACACCTTCACCCAACACAGCTCTTGCCCAGCAGCAAGGCTGTGTCCAAGAGACCRGCCTCACCCTCACCACCGTGTCAGGCTGCAAAACTCATTTCAAACACATGGAAAAGGTTAAGTRAGATCACACAGGCCTGGGTGAAGTCAGAGGAGTCCTCATGAGAAGGCCAGGAGATTCCCAAACTGACCCCACACCAAAGCAGGGCCTTGTTTAACCCTTCTGAAAGCAGGAGCCCACGCTTTGAAGAAGCGTCCCTGGAGCTGGGAGAGACCCACAGAGCCCACCCTRACAGATGGATGCCGCGCTTAATGTTTCAATAGAGCCCTGGTTGAGGAAAAATCAGCAATAAAATATCTCCTGCAACTTCAACATGTTGCACAATGCTCCTGGGGGAGATGGCCTGGAACACTTGGAGCCCAGAATCCAGCTGGTCCAGGGACAGAGCGATGGCCCAGCTGCTTCCCAACCAGAGCATCCTGTCATTTCAGATCTGCTCTCCCAAACACTCAGGCTGCTCTGATCTCATTCTATCCAAACAAGCAGGTGAAATTGAGCTGTTTAAAATAGCAGATTTGTGTTAACCCAAAATGTTTAGACTGAAATAATCTAGGGAAATGTCACAAAATTGGCACAGTCTGGGCACATAAGAAGGCAGGAAGCTCCAGCAGTGCCAAGCAGCTCAGGATGCAATTCCCCATCAGTTTGCCTGGCCAGCTGGTCCTTCCAAACTCCCCTGCTGACACGTTTTTGCTCAATTCTTGCAGTTAAATTTCATGCAGAAAAAAGCTCTTTCCCCACTGGCATCTGAAGTTGAGTGACTCTGGTCATGCATTTTTTTCCCAAAATACAGAAACCATTTTGGTGGAAAGAGATAGAGACACATGATTGATTGGTCTCTCACACCCTCAGCAAGTGCTGTGGTGATGGGACCTGTTCCCAAAGGTCCTGCCAAGCTTGGGGCTGCCATTCCCATTAAACAGGGGGAAGYTTTCAGTGGGTCAAACTGGCAATGTCAGGATCCACGGGGTAAATGAAAAACCCCGTGCTTAGTTACACCACGGCCACACACACACGACACCCCAGCGRACAGCTCCCAACTGGCCCTCAGGAACCCTGTCTATAAATGTCACCGTTTAATGGTCACACCAGGGGCCAGGGAGGAAAACCCATCATGTGAGCGAGGAGAGTTTATCCCCATCTTCAGGGATCAAGCCCCAGAATACCCTTCTGTAGAGCCAAGCACTTCCAGCCTGGAAACAGGCACAGCAGGGACTTCAGGGACCAACAGGAATAACTAAAAAGCATTCCTTTCATTACGGATCATTTCTCATGTGGACGATACCTGCAACAGTTATACAGAATAGTGACACCTCTGATGCGGTGTGAAAGAATTAAACCCARCCTGCGTKCTAGTGCAAGGCATTTCAGAATTAATTCTAGTGAGTTTTTAAACTCTTTTAATTCAGGTCACACATGCTCAAAGTCACCCTAGCTATGGAGAAATTTTGTTTTTAAGCTAAAAATCACTTAAGATCCAAGATCCAAGTCTGAGACCCCAAAAAAACAAGACTGAAGGCTGTGAAGAAATCAAAGAACTGCATCTCAGATGATGACAATTCATAATATCTTGAATATACCTAGGAGAAAACTGATTTTCAGTGTTCCTGGGGAAAAAGGCACAATCCTTTAAGGATGAAGGGCCAGCGACCCCCAGGATAGGCTTGCAGAATGGAGCTGTTAGAAAAAGGCTGAGAACAAGCTGCTTTTCTTCCCCAAACATCTCTGCAGACATCCAAAGGCTGGTGGAGCAGTTTTACTCTAAGGTAAGCTGGGTCTCACCCTCCCTAAACTACAACACGCTCTTTGCCCAAGTCCTTTTCTGAGATGTAACATCTGGTMAATTCTACCTTCATTAAGAGCCATCCTCATGAGAAAACATTCCTATTTTGATGTGTAAACAGACTTTCATCATGAGCTTGGGCCAGATTCCTTCCAYCCACAAACCAGAGTTCACCCAGAACCCGATCCATCTCTTCTTGTACGAGTTACTATGGGATTCCCACAAATCCCAGGAGTTTCTGTTCATAAGGAGCCTGCGGGGCATTTCTGTCTTGGGGCAAAKGAGGTACTTCAGTGCCACAGCAGCAGCCCTGTTTAATCACCTTTATTTCCCTAAGGAACACACCTCCCTGGTGTGTGAAGTTCTGGCATCAAACAAGCCCAAGAGSTGCATTGGGAAGTTTTGCCGGGAATGTGGCTGCCTTTTCCACACCTCAGGTACCTGGAATACGTCAGTACCTACGGCTCCAGGGGAACCATGGCAGCTCCCAGCCAGCACCGAGGCACTGCCACCAACCTTCCTGCTGCCACCACCGAGTGGATGAACAGGCTGGAGAACAACACAGCTCCCTCTTATCCCACCCTGCTGCACCCAGCAGAGCAGTCAAGAATCTCAGAAGCTTCCAAGCACRCACCAACCACTCAAAAAACAAACACTTTTTTGAGGGAAATGCTGTCAAAAAGTATCCAATAAGCACCTTGGGTAAATGATTCTTAGCTTCCCTAAAGCAAGTTTAAAAACTCAGTGTGGTGTTTCCCTAAATAGCCCAGGAAAGACGTGAATCCTGACCCTCAAGGAATAAAAGATTGTGGTCACAAAACAGCCTCAAATAGTCCCAGCCTTCAGCTTCCCTGTGTTTTGTATGCTTCTAATTACCATAATCTTCACAGGACCCTCCTTAACAGCATCCTGCCACAGTTAATGCAAGAACCATCTCTTCAAGTTCCAGATTTAATCAGTAGGTACTGTGAGAGCTGCACCATGAAAAAAGACTTCAGAGAGCAAATGAACAGTTGAGGAAACACCAGGTTTGCTGGTCCCAGTCTCGAGAAAGCCCCATTACACTAAGCCCACTCCCCTAGAAATTGCCACTGCTCCTGGTGTGTTATGAGAAAGAGCCTAAGCCTGACCAAATTGGCTGCTAACAATGAATAAATCCAAGCAGGAGATGCTGGTAATCTCCACTTACAGTATGAAGACAACTAAAGTTTTACTTCTCCCTTCTACTCTCTCTATCATTTTATCTTAGGAACTCTTGAGCAAGACTGGAGTGCACTGGTAGTGGGGAAGAGAATCACTGGTTTCATCTGAGCCCTGGAAATATGCTTGATAGGGTCAAAGTAATAGAACTGGAAAATAATGAAAAGAATAATCTGTATCTGAGGGCACTCTTTGTGTGCCAATGTCAAGTATTTCTCTAAAAATTAGATAATTCCACTTTACAGATAATGTACAACTGAGCCCAGATAGCTGACAGCAAGTGGGAATGARAGAAAAGGCAACAGTGGGATGTGCTAAGTCTCCTCAGAGCCAGTGCCTCCCCAGCCCCAGTGGTGGGACTGGAGCAACACCGACCCACATGCAGCGCTTGCAAAGTGGGGCTGCTCCCAGGGCTTAAAACAGCTGTGTTTTCTCCAGACTTTACTGAGATACCTCACAGCAGAGGGGGAAAACAAGCAGAGAGATGATTGCCAAGCCCTTCTCCCCCCAAAACTGCTATAGCTGCCCCAAAAGCTGAGTGACACCACACACAAGGAGGCAATTCTTGGTGGCTTTGGTCCACGCTCGCTCTCAAGGCTGGCTCCTGCCCCACACACGGGTGAATTTTACTACTGTCCAATTGCTTGGCAAAGGTAGTATCCCTGAATCCATGCCAGCCAGAGACTACCCCTTAAAACAGCAGCTTGGAGCCTCTCTGAAGACCAGAGAACATGTTGCACAGCGATTGCATGTGACATAAGTAAGAGAAAGGAAGGAAATGCAGTTATTTCTTTGGTTTCTCTCCCCAGCAGGGCGCAAGTTACACAAGTCCCACATTCCACTCCTCCCAACTCCTCCGTTTCACCTGCAATGCTGCCCTGCCACAGCCTCAAAGTTCCCTCATCTCCCCTGCCCTCCATTACTCACCAAAAGCACCTGGATTTACCGGTCTCGAGAAGTGTGGCTGCCCCATGAGATTCTGTTCAGAGCAGCTCTCCAGGAAGAGGCGGGAGGGGGAGAGAGGAAAAGTCTACGCTGAGAACACTTCAATCCTTTAAAATGATAAATCCATGCCTCGGATGAGGAAAGAGCCTGGCGAGTGAAGTGGCTCCCAGCTCTCAGGCCACAGCTCCGGTGTCCGATGGTCCAGCACAGGTCCTGCTCTCGTCTCCCATGACTGGGCACTTGATTCTCATAAATAGGTGTCGGTGCCAGCTCCCTTCGCACAGGAATGCCTGTCATTCCAGAGCGGAGCTGGCTAGAGCCGAAGCTCAGGAAGGGGAGGAGACAGCCAGCCACAATCCAGCCACTTAGCTGCACAATCCAAATTATCAACACCCCTCGCTCCTTCCTCACATCCAGTTTAGCAAGAAGAGAGAAAAGCCGGCCGAGGAGAAGGAGAGCAGTGTTTTTCCCAGGGATGGGCTTGGAGAATCCACTAACGGCAACACACCAAGGGGTTTCACCTCCCAAAATGGGATTAAGGAATTTCCAGCCTACCTGAGCCAGCTAAACACAAACCAAAACAGTCAGGAACGAGAGAGATGTGCAGATGTGGGAGCTGCACTACCCCAGAGCAAAGGCAATTTCAAAGAGAGCCTGAGCTGATATGCATCTAGCCAAATATACAATAAAAATACAATTTCATAGCAACTTCTCTCTCCACTAAAGTTATTAGGCAGCAGGAAGCGTGTCTTCTTGCTTAATTCAAATTTAACAATGGAAAATTTAAATTTAACACAGAAAATAAAAGTTTAGTTTCAATTCATGTGTCACAGTTTGATGGTTAAGGTAACAGACATCCCCCCSCAAACATCTGCCTCACAATAAAAGATCTACAAAGTTTAATTTTGTCCATTTRGATAATTTAATTGATCATTAAAATTTGGGTTAAGACTCCTGTGAACCTACAGCTCATTTTTCCTGAGGAGCAAGGAAAATCCTTAAGCATCCAGAAGCTTAATCTTAGTTCAGAGAAAAAGGAAAAGCACTTTTCAAAATTATACAGGAATCTGCTGCAGCRTAAGAGATAAAATCAGGAACATGACCCCATTCGATACATCCAGGTTGGTTTCTCCCCAGTGTAGGAGAAGTTTTGAACATCAGGATTTGCTGCAGCGCTTGGTGTCCCTACTCTTGTTGAGCCAGCAAGAAGAGGACTTCAACATGGTGGAACCCTACCCAGGAAGCAATATCAATAGGATAATCTTTTATTCTGAGAAACAACCAGACCCAAGATTGTCAATCTGGGCCGGTGCAGCTGGGAACAATCAATGCTGCACATTGCCCAGAGAAAATGTTGCAGCATTGCTGTTCCCAGACCCATGAATGGGGGGAGTCAGCACTACAAAAACACTGCAAAACAGTGCAAGGGGTAGTTCTGAAAGTCTGTAACACCTCACCTGAGCCACAAACAACCTYGGTGCTCTTGGTTCCCCCCCTAACACACTAAATGTACCATCAGGCAACTTGCAAATCCACTCCTCATGCAAAGCAGAGCCATAAAAACACAGGAGGAACGAGGACACTCGTGCGTCTTCTCCACCTGCATCCTGCTTGTCTTCAGTCCTGGGTGCCAGGCAGGTGACCCCCATGGCACAGACAGCAGTGGAGGAGCAGAAGAGCCACGGAGGCGGACAGCAAATGCCACTGTCCTCCCCTGCACAGGGCACATGGACATTCCTGGAAGTGTTGCTCCTCTCTAACTCCCACCATGGACATCTCTGTGGTTGTGCTCTCACTGCGGGCAATGAACAGCCCAACTCCCAGGAATGCTCCACCTCACTGAAGACTTTTTGCTTTGAAACAAAGAAAAAGCTATTTTTGGAGACATGTATATGTGCTGCCATCTGGCAGAGACCCATAAAGGTYAGAGATAAAGGCAGGAAGATTTCCCAATGTCTGTAAATCAGCTGCCCAGCTTGAAAAGAGGTCTGGAAAAAACATCCCTGCATATAGGAATGCAACAGAATGCTGCATCTAGACCTGCCTGGCTCCTAAGGAATTAAAGCCACTGCCTTTTATAAAGCATTTGCTGTGAATTCGCAATGTACAAAGTGCTGCTGCATAAGAGATGACACATGATAAATTCTTAAAGCACAGCAGCACAACCATATCTCTGACCCTTTATTTCTACATTAATAAAATACGAAACATTAGCTTAAATTTCAATAMAATATATTTAAATAAATGGATTTAAATTCACAGCGGCTGCAGCCCAAGACATGCACAAGTTACTCAGGCTCTGGTGTGACACAGGAACCCACCAGACTGTGAAATTAAATCCTTTATGTTTCTGTATCCTTCATCAGGCCTCCAAGACCTTTACAGGAAGAATGACAAGATTTGGCAATGATTGCACCACAAACATGAACATTTCCTTCTGAAAGGCAGGGCTCCGATGCCCAAGGAGTAAAAAGATACAAACCTGTGTTTCAAATTGCAGCTGGCTCTAGACTTAAGCATCCTTTAGAAGTATTAGCCACAACTCTCTCTCCTCTTTTGGGAGARAATGCAAAGCCCTACCACAAAACATGCGCAAAACAGCAGAAATCCAAAAGTAACACCAGTATCATTATTTTCAGTGGGACTCCCAGCCAGAAAAACCCATCCTTCACCTCTGGAAAGAAAGGTGAAAATTCTGTCTCAGCAAACAGAATGCTAAAAAATGTTCCAGCCTCAACTGCAGCCTGAGTTCAGAGTATGAGTGTGGTTCCTAAGGAACCCTGCCCAGAGAGCTTTGTTTCACYGCTGGGGAAAAATATGGCACAAAGCAACCTGCCCTCATCCCACTGGGCATCCAGGATAAAGGAAAACCCACATTTCAAGCAAGGAAGAGTAATCAACATCCAAAGTTCCTGTGATAATGAGAAAAGCCATCTGACTTTGCTGCACAACAACCAGAAGAAATCAGCGCAACTATTTTACTCCTCAGGGATGGGTGAAGACTTTTTGAAGRCGAGAAACTTGGAACAGCAAAGAAGTTTCTAAAGGAGAGCAGAGAGGGAAACACCTGATTGTCACTTCAGCCTTCTCTTTTCAAATAAARCAACCAAGAAAGCCAGTTACACGAAAATTTCATGCGATTTTGGGAGAGTGAGATGGCTGAAATAAAACAAGATGGACAGTAAACAATCAAACACAGGGTACATGGACTTCCTCTGAAGTTTCATTTCCTCTCCATTCTGCCCAGCATCCCATTAAACCCCTGGCATTTCCATGTAAATACTCTGTTTATATACATTGTAAAAGAAACTCTTCTGGATTGTTTCACTTTAAAATCTAATGAAAACTATAACGAGTACAATGTTAGCTCCTCTAATAAAGCCGGTGTTGTTCACATTTCGGTTCACACTGACGTGAAATGCTACATTCACCCGCAGTGACTCAGRCATTTGTGTTTCATGATTCAGCCACAGGAACAGTAAAAAGGACTCCGTCATTATCCCATCCCTGCCAATGGAGCTATTTAAAACCAGTGACACTGGGTGTTTTCCTTCAGAGCTCATCACCAGAGTCAGGGGGAGCTACAGGACCTCTAAGGAAAGCTCTTTCACTGCAGGAGATGCACCCACTGAAATACTCAGGCAGGGCCCACCTGACCAGGAGGGCTGGCAGGGAGGAGAAAAAGTGGCAGGACCATGACTCTGGATGTGTTTCACTGAATTATGGAATGGTTTGGTCTCACTTCACCCCCTGCRATGGWTAGGGACACCTTCCACTAGACCAGGTTGCTCCAAGCCCCATCCAACCTGGCCTGGAACACCTCCAGGGACAGGCAGCCACAGCTGCTCCGGGAAATCCATTCTACTCCCTCACCACTCTCACAGGGAAGAATTTCTCCTCAATATCTCAYCTAACCCTGCTCTCTGTCAGTTTGAAGCTATTCCCCCTTGTTCTGTCACTCTGGGCTCATGTAAACAGTCTCTCTTCACCTTTCCTGCAGGCTCCCTCCAGGTACTGAAAGRCCACAACTATGTCACCTCAAAGCTTCCCTCCTCCAGGCTGAACAATTCAACTCCCTCAGCCTTTCCTCACACAAGAGGTGCTGCAGCCCTCTAATCAACTTGGTTTCAGCACATATTTTGTTCTCAGCTTTGCAAGAACAAGAATATGAAAAARAAATCTTGTATGTACACATAATAGCCCCGACTGTCTGTAGAGATRAGCCCGTCCTGGGCTGCGCTCTGACACTGAGCGTGTGGAGCCATGAAGGAGGGCCACGGAGCAGGGGCCAGCACCAGACGCCAGGAAGCCACTCTGAACAAATGAACGCAACGTGACACTCTTCCTTTCTCCTCATATGGAATGAAAAGCCAGCGTGGAAGTGGAAAATGGGTTATTTATAAGCTGGYATCACATTGTTTGGGTCCTGCAGACTCTGATGGTTCAGATGAGACAAATGTGAGCTAACTGCTCCTACACCACATGATTTCCTTCATGCTTCCTGTGACATTTCCAAGAGGGAAACTCCTATTTCCCAGAGCACGGCAGACCCTGTGTCCCCAGCAGTTAGTCAGCATGGTGCTCCATCTCAGAAAGCAAGGGGCAGCAGGTCCAGCATGTCAGAGACTCTTGGTGCCAGCACACACGTACTGGTGTCAGGGAAGGTGAGCACACCATGTCCCACAGCAGTCCAGATGGGGGCCATGACAAAGTACASCTGAAAGAAGAGATTGCTCTGCCCAGAAAGTGACTGACAGCATTTCCAGCCCCACCTTTAGGGAGGTGAGGCCATGCTCCTGGAAAGTCCTGTGGYTGCAGCAGCTGGGCAGAACACAGGGAATCACTTCATTGTCACAATGAATGCACTCAAAAAATTGTGAATTAAACAAGCCTTTGGGCCCAGAGGAGCTCAAGGAAAAATACCCACCAGCCTTGTTTTCCAGTGGAAATACAACTTCCAAYGGAAGCACATTTTAGCCAGTACTGGAGAAGTCGCACCATCAACGCCTCCTGACCGCTCCTGGCAATTACAACGCAGGCCAAGTATTTTCTTGTTTACTAGTGCAGGAATGTTGAGGAATGTAATTTTGACAAAATTAAAGATTCAATCACATCTTGGCTAACTTAACTCACCCTAACTTGACCACTATGGTGATTCATGGCTTTGCCATCTTGAGGCAAAGGAACCTCCAAAGCTGACAAATGACTTTTTGGAGCACCTTAAAGCAGCATTAARAGAAAGTCCAGTCACAAGCCAAAGGAAGCGCATATATAGGATACATTCCAGCAAAGCATCAGGCATTAGCAAAGCATCAGCGTATTCCCAACAGTGAAGCACTCAGAGGCAGGATACCCA